AATTATTTCTACTGGGTTTTGGCTCACCCTACTTGGGAAACTATTTTCAGATACTAGTGACATGCCTCCTCCAAGGACTTAGCTTGGGAGGACCTGGGAGCTGAAGGCTCTGTTTTGTCATTTTGTATTTAATAATTGTACAAGCCTAGGGTTTTATATGTATGGAGCTTAAGACTCTCTCTTTTGTTGTAACCAAGCATAGTCTTGGAAAGATGTAAGCCTTTAGGGTATTTATTTTGTTGATCATTAAGTTGGTATCACATGCTATAGCTTCAGGGTAGAGCTTATGAATGTATATCGCATGTGTTATTTTTTTTGTAAATTAACTTTGACTAATGAAAGATTACTACTTTGTTCATGTCATTGTGTATATGTTGTTTGGGGCCGATTTATGGCATTTATTTCAGGGCGTTTTAGGGACAAAATCTCTGTAGACCTATGTAGTTGAGCTATGATAACGCATAAAAAGATTTTGAAATAGATGGGAGATCCGCACCTTCAAGAATGCAATGGAGGGTTTTTAATGGAGTTGTTAAATGCAGGGTCTTGGAGATGTCAATAGGTCTTCAATGGAGGTCAATGAGTCTTCATTGTTTCTTCAATGGATCATTTTCATACACCGGGTACGTGGAAGAGGGCTTTTAATCGAATAGATAAAGGTGTGTGGAAGTAGGGTGTAGGTGGTATGCGTACAAAGATATAAGTTAGGGTATAATTGGAACATAAAATGTGTGGAATAAGAAGACTAATCAATAACTAAATTAATAAATGTGTGCACTAACAAATAATGTGCATTGAGATAAATAGGTGCATGGAAATAAAAATTTTCCCTGTCTATAGTAGTAGATAAATAGACCTATATCATTATTAAAGCTAACGAAAATTAAGAGTAGTGAGGCAAAAAAATTAAAAAAAAATGATGAAAATATAAAGATGCTAACTAATGAAATAATGATATTGTAACTTGACTAAAAATATTTAAACTGTCATAATTAAAAATGCTTAACTGATATCCCCATATTTTATCACTCTCAATTATACATCTAATAAGGTGACAAATAATTTTAAAAAAGAGAAACAAAAATTAATTAATTAATAGTATTTATTATTTTAGAGGTACAATTGTGAATGGCCAAATAGAGGGATGGAACATTTATCTTAAAAATAAAAGAATGAAAAATGAAATTGTAATAAAAATTCATAGTAATTCGTAGCACAGTTAGAATGCAATTTTAACACACTGTTGTTCGGCTCATGGGGACTCATCTCGGGTCTTATTTTGATAATCTGAATAGTTTAATGTGTAGAACTCGTCGAGTACTATATGTCTATAAAAAATCACATTGATCGGATATCGCTAACTACATTGTAACAACCCTCACCTTACTCTTGTCATACTTGCATACATTCTTGCATGGTCTTGCTTTATTATGTTAATTGGAAGGATTTGTTTGCCTTGTTTTGTTAGTATTACTTGCGTGATCTTGTCCCTTGTTCGGTGTGTGCGTAGCCGAGGTCATCTTGAGCTTAGTCCGCCTTTGAACCTTGTACTTAGAACTATTTTGAGATCTTGTTCAACCCCATCTTCACCTCGGGCATTCATTGCCGAGATGCTTCGCACTTAGTGAACCTTGTCCTTGGGCAGGTATGGCCTAGGCCGAGATGTGGCACACCCCGGCCAAGGTGTGGCACAGCTTAGTCAAGTGTCGTCCTCCCTAGCCGATGTTTTTCTATCCTGTTGCTGGATCCTTGATTTGAGCCGATGTCATCTTGTTGCCGATGTGTCTTACCCGAGCTTGCTGCATACACTTTGTCAGAGACTTGTCTCGTCTATCAATCACCTTTTTGGAGCTGAACCAACCCGATAACGCCACGTGTCCGAGCTGATTGTTAAGGCAGCCGGCAGACCCTAAAACAAATCATTTCCTTGTCTCAAATCCTTGTTTTAGAGAGAGAAGCTCTAGAGAAATTCTTGAGTGAGAGTAAGTATAGCGATCCCGGGTTTACCCTTGTTGTACAGTGATCCGGACATGTGTCCGTGGATGTTGGTAGTTGTTTATTTTCTAGTTCGCTTCCTCTTTACTTTGTATATTGAGTTATAAGATGCGTTGGGCAGGTTTGTTACAGGTTAGTTGCGTTTGGGAGCCTAGTGTTGCTGCCCAGATTTTTGGTCCTTCGCTCGAGCGAGGAGTATGTCGCTCGAGCGAGAGTGGTGTTGCGTCTGGTTCTGGACCTGAGAGTTGCATTTCCTGGCTCGAGCGAGCTTATCCCTTGCTTCGCCGATGTTTTGATACTTGACTGATGAATACGGTTCATCCCTTGCTTCGCCGATGTTTTGATACTTGACTGATGAATACGGTTCATCCCTTGCTTCGCCGATGTTTTGATACTTGACTGATGAATACGGTTCATCCCTTGCTTCGCCGATGTTTTGATACTTGACTGATGAATACGGTTCATCCCTTGCTTCGCCGATGTTTTGATACTTGACTGATGAATACGGTTCATCCCTTGCTTCGCCGATGTTTTGATACTTGACTGATGAATACGGTTCATCCCTTGCTTCGCCGATGTTTTGATACTTGACTGATGAATACGGTTCATCCCTTGCTTCGCCGATGTTTTGATACTTGACTGATGAATACGGTTCATCCCTTGCTTCGCCGATGTTTTGATACTTGACTGATGAATACGGTTCATCCCTTGCTTCGCCGATGTTTTGATACTTGACTGATGAATACGGTTCATCCCTTGCTTCGCCGATGTTTTGATACTTGACTGATGAATACGGTTCATCCCTTGCTTCGCCGATGTTTTGATACTTGACTGATGAATACGGTTCATCCCTTGCTTCGCCGATGTTTTGATACTTGACTGATGAATACGGTTCATCCCTTGCTTCGCCGATGTTTTGATACTTGACTGATGAATACGGTTCATCCCTTGCTTCGCCGATGTTTTGATACTTGACTGATGAATACGGTTCATCCCTTGCTTCGCCGATGTTTTGATACTTGACTGATGAATACGGTTCATCCCTTGCTTCGCCGATGTTTTGATACTTGACTGATGAATACGGTTCATCCCTTGCTTCGCCGATGTTTTGATACTTGACTGATGAATACGGTTCATCCCTTGCTTCGCCGATGTTTTGATACTTGACTGATGAATACGGTTCATCCCTTGCTTCGCCGATGTTTTGATACTTGACTGATGAATACGGTTCATCCCTTGCTTCGCCGATGTTATGATACTTGCTTGGTGAATACGGTTCATCCCCTGTTCGTTAAAGTTTTGATATGTTCTGTTTTGATAGACTCCGGCTATGTTCATGCAAACCTTTATTATTAGTACCATTCACTGAGTATTTGTACTCACCCCTCTATATATATGTAGGTGATGAGCAGGACGGCGGCGACGCCTAGATCGTTTTGGATGCTTGTTTTGGATTCGTACTTATGTCGGCTTTGCTTTTGTATTTACGTCGGCGGTGCCCTGCTTTGCATGTCGGCAAATCTTGAAAATCATGCTTCTTGACTTGTATTAGCTGTATTTTGTATATGTCGGCTCGAGAAGCCTTTTGATCAAGATGTAACATATATTTTACGCTGTTGTACTCAAGTTGTAAAGTTAATTGGAAATGTTTGGCATTGCTTTGATCTACGCACAGCTCTTATGGACTAATTGTATTTGATTTATCGCTTCCGCATCTGTGAGCCCCCTATATCCATACTCTGATTGTGTTAAGTTTTGAAAAGTTGGCCTTCGGTAATTACGGATTACTGGCCATCACGGCACCAAACTACTAGGGGCGGTTTGGGGTCGTGACATACATGATCAAATCAGTTTTGTATAAAAAAAATGATGGTATTATAGTTAACGGTTAAAAAAACTAATCTGATCAGATAGCTATCGATATCCGATCAACGTGATTTTTTATAGGCATATAATACTCGACGAGTTCTACACATTAAACGGTTCAGATTATCAAAACAGGACCCGTGATGGCCCTCACAAGCTGAATAGTACCGTCTAGTGCAATGCCTGAAAAGTAGCCAATTATTTCTCAGCATTAATCAGCTACGCAGATAGTACGGATGTACAACTCACACTCCTAATCTTCTCATACACATTAATTTATATAATTTTTTAATACACATTTTTTCATAAAAAATCAAAAAGTTAACCCAAACAACCATATTTTTTTCTTCAACTTTTTAGTCCAAAAAATCAAAAAATGCACTTATTTAAGACACCCCAAACAACCCCTAATTAATGCCTTGCTTAAAAAGGGCAATAGTGTGGAATCAGCATCCATTCATTAATTTCTCTCCTTAACTTTTTATTTGATTGGCTATTGGACTCATTTTTTGGCCTAATTTTGATAATCCGAACCGTTCACATTTTAAGATTTATTGAGTATATGATACCTGTAAAAAAAATTAAGTTGATCGGATATCAGAAACTACGTGTTCGGATCATCGAACTACAAACCATTTTTTTAAAAAAAATTAATAAATAATTTTTCAAATACATGCTTTCTAATATCTGATCAATTTGATTTTTTATAGATATAATTTACTTAATAAATTTTAAAATATGAACAATTCAAATTATTAAAATTAATCTCAAAAGTAAATCCAATAATTCAGGCCTCGTTTGGGAACATGCTAATTTAGTAACTTTTTAGTTATTTGGCTAAAATATGAGCTAAAAAAAATAATATGTTTGTAATGACTTTTTAGTTTTTTACGAAAAGATGTGTAAAAAGTAAAAAAAAAATAAAATTTTTGACTTTTTAATATAAATTATTAATTTTTTGACTAATTTAATAATTTTTTAATTTTTTAACTAAAAAGAGAGTTGGCAAACCAGACCAAATTAAAGAGAGAAGTGAAGAGGGAATCCTAATTCCAAGTGTGTACACATTATGGAAAAATTATTGGGTCTGCTCGACCGTGGGTTGCGACTGTAATAAATGCAAAAGCAAACAAAAATATGGAAAGAATACGTAAACCCACTAACATTTCAGTGCGTTACAGGGCTTAGAGAGAGAGAGAGATCATAATACCTACGAAACCCTATTCTCTCTCTCTCTAGAAATCGTCTCGCGCAGAGAAGAATTGCAAGGGTTTCGCACCATCAAATTCAAAAATGGTCAGTTATCTTCCACTGATTTCACCGACCGATGTTTCTAACACAGCTTTTGGTTGCCTTAATTGTTATGTTTTTTTTTTTAAAAAAAAAAATTCCCAACATGTGAAACTCAAATTCATAGTTTACATCGAGCTAGTTTGTTATGTTTATATGTCTTTACTGTTAATCGAGTTAATTTCATATTTAAAAGTTCCTAGGTGAACGAGCTGTTCAATTCTTCATCATGATAGATGATTGTATCTCATCTCAATTCTCACTTGATGTTTATGAATTCGCACCACTTTTTCTCACTGATTTTGGGCGTTAATGTGATGATGCGTTAAGAACGAAGAAGATAGCTGGAGTTGAACAAATGACAAAAAAAAAAAAAAAAAAACATGGCCTGTGATGCTATGCTCCAATTCACAGAATCAATATAAAACCACAGTTTATCCTCATAACAATGAAAGTATGAAATTCATACAAAAATTCACGTACTTCTGTACTCTCCACCTAGCTTTATAGCTCTAAACAGGCTCTACATTTCCTTCCATTTTTTTGTACATTAATGTTTGTAACCAATTGTAATTAATTAATGGTAATTAACAACAATAACCACTTAGGTAAGAGCTCCACTCTTGATAGCCAATGGAATTCGAACAATTCCAACAGATACATCTTCCCCCAATCAAATCCCTCCATGATACAGCCTAATTCAAACATGTTTGCTACTTCATCATTGCCTTCTCCTTTCAAAAGCCTTATTCTAGAGGCTGAAAATGAAGAAGCTGCTGATGGAGATAAGCTTAACTTTCCCAAGTTGCATCTTTAGGGAATGAGTTTGTCCATTGAATGAAAACTTGGGTCACAGGCCCATGGTGTCTGTTGAAAATCTGCCGATCCAAATTGGCCATTGGTTCCACCTAGAGCTGTCCCTCATCACCTAGTTGTGGCAAAGTTTGCTGAATATCAGCATGATGCCATAGTTTCTTTTTTAGAAAGGACACATGAAACACTAGATGTATGTGAACTTTCCCAATTCTCTGTATGACATGAAAAGGTCCAAAATATTTGGGAGCAAGCTTCATGTTCCTTCTAACAGACAAGGAGGTTTGCTGATAGGGCTGCTGATAGTACATGCAATTCTCTAGTTGTTTGTGTTGCGTGTCTTTTGCTGCGTGCATGTAGTTTGAATCACAGTAATCTTCACAGTTCAACTTTTTATTTTTGAATTTTCAATTAATGGCATTGTTTTTTTTCCCCCCCGACGATAGAACAAACTGGGTAGAGGGCACCGAGACAAAGTTCAGCAGTTCATAACAATAACTGGATCGAGGTAACTTTACATTCCTATTGGACTTTGGTGCTGATATTGGTTTCTTATTTGTCATAAGATTAGTGGCATTTTTTAATTTGGACTTACAAATTAAGAGGTTTAGATGTTTGATTGTTTACTTTTAGAGTGCATGCAGATGGCGTGATTTTGTGCGTGAAATATGCCAAATTGAAGATGGCAAGCAAACCATTATGTACTATCATTACAGAGCTTATTTGAGGACTTATTTGGCAAAATCATTTCTCAAATGTTGTTCTAACATTAATCTTATACAAGAATCTGAGATGTATTTATTTCCATAACTGGATTTGTAATTTATTGTTGAGCATTCAGCCTTTACTATAGATTTAGCTTTGATTGATGAGCTGCTGAATTTTTTTCTCAACTTAAATGCTTAGCAGTTGGCAGTTGGTATATGACAACCAATTATAAAAGTAATGGTTGGTTGATATTTTTTATGTGTAACTAAGTTGATGGGTTTGTTTTATCCATTCTGGGGCTGTTCTACGGATTTTGGTAAATCGCCCACGTAAAAGATAACATGTTGGAAGTGTTTTTTTTGGCATATAGGATTTATTGACTGCTGAAATTTGATGCAACTACAGTTCTAGAATGTCTAGTCCGTTGTCACTCAGTGGTGCTGTCCTGTCATTTAAACCATGAACACGGGCGGGCGTACGATGGGTGGGGATCGTTTGATTTTTACCATAGGCCAAAGAAGTATATAAAGAACTGTTTGAATATTGTTCAAGAGCTTTAATATGCCTGACCTCAATTGATACCAATTAATGTAGATCTGTGCACTTCTATGCAATAACATGATCCATCATTTCCTTAACATCTAGGGTTCTTTGTTTATATGCCCTTGTACTTCCTTACATACTTTATGATTTACGATGTTCTCTTAATCCGTTTATTCTCTGATATCCAAAAGGTTGAAACAGTTACTCTTCTATGCTTGTCTTCTATATATAGTAAGAGTTTTATTCTTTTCCATATATGTGGCTTATCTGGTTAACCATCATTTTGTCACTTGAGAATGTAGATTTTAATTGAACTTTTCTTCAATCTCAATGGAGTGCCCAGTTTTGATTAGTTTATGGTGTATATTACAAGATCTTTTATGTTTCCTATTTTATTTATAAAATGCAGTGAAAAAGTTGCCAGTCAGGCCTTGAAAGCTAGCGATTGGCATCTTGAAGGAGCATTGGATATATTCTACAGCCAGCCCCAGGTTAAATCATATGCTGATACTAGACATGTGGAGGAACTTTACAACAGATATAAAGGCAGGTGCTACTTTTTCATTGCATTCTTCTCTTCTCGCTGCATCCCCTACTGAAATATTTTTATGTTTGCTTTTAATTTGCAAAATCTTAGTTGTGTTTGGTGAGGCTTTGTAATCAATTTTCCACCCACCGATTTGAATGCTACGTTTGGTTTAGTTTCAAAAATCATTTTCACACCCGCGTTTGAAAACTCTTCTATCCGGTCATCCCCCTAGATGTGCAGCCGATTGACCAGAACAGTGTTTGTATTTTTTTTTGGGCACCTGTTATTTTTATATTTTAAATAAAAAAATATTTTCAAAATTTTTTTAAAGTTTTTTATGAGTTTTGAATAGAATTTTGAATTGTATGTTTGATTATGAGTTGTAAGTTTTTTAATCAAATATCATATGTCATATCAAAAATTTCAAACACAATTCAAAATTATCTTCAAAACTAATAACCAAACTAATTTTCCTCACTTAAATCATAATTCCAAAACTCATGAACTCAAAATAAAACTCTATTCTTAAATCATAATTCTAAAACTCTACCAAACATTACCCTTGATTTTCATCATGATTTCCTTGAATCTCCTTTGTTCATCTGTTTTTGATGCCCTCTCTTAAAAATGACTAACTGTGGTATTTATCCAAAAAATAAAAGGGAAGGCTAACTGTGGTAAAATGTAGTGAAATGATAAAATATAAGCATGTATCCAGTATTTGTTTTTTTGTTCCCCAAATTGGCAATCTAGGGATGTGGGTTTCTTTTATGAAATTCTTGAAGTGTTTGATTCACCATTATAAATCTACTAGTGAATTTTCCATATATTTGATAGCCAATTCCACTAATCAATTGGACAAACCACGGCTAGATCTCAGCCAAATCGCATGTCATTAACACAATTAATCACATAAGAGAGACACGATTTAAATGTGGGAAATCTCAATTAGAGAGCATCCAATTGAGATGAAAAACCACCGGTCCGAGGCCAAAAAACCAATCGGCTATGTTTGGAGACTGGAGACTGTCTTTGTGTTGAGGTAGACTTAGCTTATCTGACCTTCTGCTTGACAGACATCATTTGATTAGGACGAGTTTATGATAGTTGGAGGTCAACTTATAAAGGAAAATAATAACATGATCGAGGCCTATCTGAGTGTTGGCTTACCTGTCAAAGTAAGGCCTACCACATTTATGACACTAAATTTCACGTGCATGGTTTCTGTTATGATTTTGTGTCATCATCACCTTTTTGTTTGAGTTTCTTTGAAGTTTTAAGCTTGCTTTGGCAATTCATTATGTTGTTTAAATCTCATGAGGCCTATTTTAAGTATATTTGCTGGAGTATCAGGGTCACGTGATGAAGCTGGATTCGGTGGGGATAGATGAGAATGTAATTTTTGTCTGATATGACTAAATTATGATAAGAAAAGGGGAAAACAAATAAGAAGTAAAAAAATTCAGTGCGTTCGGTTTCAGTTTTCTGAATTCAATTTTCTAGAAATTGAGTTTTTTGTTTTTCGTGTTTTTTTGTTTTTAGTGAATATTTTTCAAAATTTTAAGTAATTTTTTTTTTAAACTTTTTTAGATGCACCTTAAATACAAAATGCGAAATATGTATTGATTTTTTTTTATTTTTTATTTTTTATTTTTGTATGTTTGGTATTTAGTGAATTTTTTAAAGATTTTTTTTCACAAATATTATATTTTTTAAGTGTATTTATGTTAGGTGTGTTTAAAATTTTAAAAAAAATTACTTAAAATATTTAAAAAATTCATTGAAAACAAAAAAATAAGGAAAATAAAAAAAAGTATAATTTTCTAAAAAGTGTTTTCTAGAAACCAAAACCAAACAAGCTGTCCCAAAATCTGCAATTTATTGTCCATCTGATGAAATCCCTACTATTTAATAATTTTAAGGATAGGTTGAATTTACTACCTATATGGTTTGCACATTAGGGATGTCCATATTCTTTCATGAAATATGGGAGGGGTCATTTTTGGCCTCCGACTTTTTCAAAACTGGTAAGAGTTAAAATTGGAAGAAGATAATTGTTTTAAGTGTATTATTTAAATTTTCAGCCACATATGGAAAACTTTTAGTGCCTTACAATTGATTGCGCACTATCATGTGTCCAATACCAGAGGGTATCATTAAATTAAATCTAGTAGTTAAGTAGGTGCAATATCGACATTGTACTGAGCTTTGCGATAAGTGATGATTATCAAACAGCACTGTATGCTTGTGTTTTCTATAGTGCACATTAAGGCCTCGTTTGGCAACATCACTTTTTAGCCTAAAAGTCAAAAAATCACTAAAAAAATCAAATAGCCAACAACCTATACCAAAAAGTCAAAGACTCCCTTTTCTCTGTACTTTTTGCACATCTTTTCGTAAAAAATCAAAAAGTCATCCCAAACATACTAGTTTTTTTTTACATCATATTTGAGCCAAAAAGTTACTAAAAAAGCCTATTCCCAGATGAGGCCTAAGAAGTTGAATATCTTATCTCATTAGTTGGGCTTTGAGTTGTTGAAAGCCATAGTGGTTGTTAGAACCTCCTGTTTGTGTTTCTAGTAGGTTAGTTATGGATCCATCCCCATTAAGTGGAAATAATTTTGTTAATTTACTTTTCAAAAGGTAAAGCATCTTTAACAGATTATATAAGAAACATAATTTTTGGCTTGCAATTACTTCTTAATTAGTTAAGTCTAGTTTGAAGAGAATTAATGTGTTTTGCAGATCCATATGTTGACATGATTTTGGCTGATGGCATCACACTCCTTTGCAATGATCTTCAGGTAGCTCTACTTGTTTACAACTAACTGGCTTCAAAGTGATTGGTTGATCAGGTTACTGGAATTTTTATTTTAAATGATTATATGAGGAACTTTATCTTCAAGCATTATGCTCATAATTTTAGTCTCATGTTATGGCTCACTATTAATTCATTTTTCAATGGTTTTGGAATTTTTACTACTTTTTAGAAACTAGAATTATCTCTTAACTTAGTTAAATGACATTTGAATATTTGTTTTCTTGGCAGGTGGATCCCCAAGATATTGTTATGGTATGTGGATATATTTAGATACTCCGAACCTGCTACAAATCATAAAATACAAAATGATTTATATAATTGCACTGTAGGATTAAATTTTTTATCCTTTGATCTGTGTGATGAACTCTAAAATTTCAAAGAATTTACAGAATTCCTTGGAAGAGTGTGGTAGAAGTAATTTTTTTTTTTTTTGAAGATCTTAATTCGTTGTTTTAATGTAAAATTTACAAACATAATCAATTGCCAGACCATATTAACTGTCCTCAATTGCTCTTGATTGGAACATATCTCATCCAAGAGTTCACAAATAAAACAAGGCGCTTTCTTTTGTTTTGAAGTTGTTGGAAAGCTAGTTGCATAATCTGAAAATGCCGCCTCTGCATAATGGTATTTATCTTCCCATGGTGCATTGGTATTGATTTTTTTAGAAATCATTAGGGCTTAAATTTAGATGGGTGTTCTTATTTTATATTTAGATGAAGGATTCCTAAGATTAAATGCTGAGATTTTTTTTAGAAAAAAATAAAAAATGTACCTTTAGAAAGAAAAAAAAAAAAAAAAAATCATATCCAAATACCAGTTAACAAAGTTATATAAAAAATGTGACCATCCTTACTTCCATTCAACTCAATATAAATTCAAGAACCTTTGGTCTGGAATGCTCTTACCAACATTTCTTCCTGTTAAATGAATTTCATGACTGAACTATACAAGCTACTAATACATTTTTACCCTATTTGAAGCGATAGATAGCATTTTAACAAATCAATAAAGCAACAATTGGGCACCTGTTGCTCCTTTAGGCCACTTTATTTTGGAGGCACCATTTTCTCTCTCTCTGAAGGTTTTATTCATAGGACCTTAGGAGTCTTCTCCCATTGGTGAATTGATAAGGTATCACTGTCCATGTAGGCATGCAAGGTTGCTACTTTTCAGTATAAGAATAATCAGCTCATGATAATTGATCAAATTGATTGAAAGAAAGACGCAAGTATCACCTTAATCCACACTACCAGCTCAGGCCATCTCTTTATGGTTGTTTTTTGGTAGCCTAATGCTAGGCTTCATCTCAATGTTATATTTTATGTCATCTCACTTCTCATCATATTCATCCTTTTCTATTCTATGATTTAGCACCACACCTTTGCCTCATCTTTTTTCGCCCTTCATATATTTATTCAAAAAAGAAAAAGGTAATGTTTTACATGTTTCCAAAAGAAAAGTTTGATATTGAGTAACGCTTCAATTGGTGAGATGCCTCTATCTTCATAGTGCAATACTTTTGTGGCGTTCAATTTTATTTCTTTCTTGTTTCCTCCAATTACTTTGAGTGATATGAGACAAGGGGATCATTTATTTGTTGTTGTTCTTACGGGACTGAAACATTTGAGGGTTGAATCATTTACTGTTAGACAGTAGATTATGAATGGCATCCCTTTGGGATACTTGATTCATAGCAACTTGACTCCAACCGAAAGGAATGGAATGATGTTGATTGTTAATTGAAGATTTATCTTTTTAAGTAAAATAGGAAGGGGGTGTATTCTGCAATGTTGGAATTTAACCTTATTATGGTTGATAATGCCTCCTTACAACTTATTGGTTCCTCCCCTCGCTTGACTTGGAAGAATTGAATGACAAAATAAGATCCTGCATTACATACAAGATTGTGTGCATTCTTAGTGACTTTTGATGATTCATGGAGCCCTTTCCCTATGTTTCCTATGATATTGTCCACCATTCACTACAAAGCTTATTTAGGCTACGTTTGTTTGGCGGATTAGATTGGATGAGATTGTTAGTGAGAGAATGGTTAGTGAAAAATTGTTAATGTAGGGATTATTAGTGAGGGGATTAAGTAAAAGTGTATTTGTTTTGATGATAGTGTGGGATATGGTTAGTGATGGAATTATTAAATTATTTTTATATAAAATAGATAAAAAAATTATTTCTATAATAGATAAAAAAATTATTTTTATATTAAAAAAAAAACTAAAACAAATATCAAAATAAACAGGTGCACTTGATAAAAAAATAAATAAAATTAAAAAAATAAATTTTTTATATAGAATAGACTCAATTCACTCACTATTTTTCTAATCCTACCCAAAATCTAGCCAAGCTAATCCCCCTTATGAGGGAGATTACTAAGCCCCTCACACTATTAATCCCCCTTCCCAAATCATCACCAAACAAGGTGTGGGTGGGACCCACACCCATACTAATCCAATCCAGCCCCCTACCCCGCTAAACAAACATGGCCTTATAGTATTTTTTCCTTCTTTCTATTTGATCTTAAACTGGCTGTTTCATTGCCTAATTAATGAATATACTCAAGCAACTTATGACTGCAAGCTGAATGACTTTTGATGATTTATAGAGCCTGTTTCTCACTGTTTTTTATTTTTTCGCGTCCATCATTTGTTACTAAGCTTATACTAATAACTTTCCTTTTCTTTCATTTTATTTGATCTTGAACTTCTGTTTCGTGCCTCATTCTCTTATTGATGAATAAACTCAACTTGCCTAGGGTTTTGTTATGTTATATTTGTAATTGATTGACAAATTAATTTCAAAAGCTCTTAAACATTTTGCTAAACAATCTTAAGAAATTGGGCCAGTGTTTGCAATATATACCAGGAGTCTTTTGTTTCTCATGATCAAGTTATTAGTTGTCATTTGTCAAGTACATACATTATACTCTAATCATTCAGCTAAGTTTTAGCTAACATGGGGTTGTTGCCTTTGCTGTAGCTAGTTCTTTCTTGGCACATGAAGGCAGCCACTATGTGTGAATTTTCCAAGCAGGAGTTCATTGGTGGTTTGCAAGCTCTTGGGTAACTATTGGTCAAGTTCTATGTTAGTTTGCTGTTTCTTTTTAATTCCAATAATAACGGAGTTCATATTTTTAATATCAGGATAGATTCGCTGGAGAAATTCCGCGATCGTATGCAATTTATGCGTTCTGAGCTGAAAGATGAGCGTATGAATACATGACATTCAATTTTCCTCATTAGTTGCAAGTAGTTGTAAATTATAACCCACGTTGCTCCTATTTCATATGTCATGTTGCTTGTGACAATGACAGTTCATATGTTGACATATATCTTGATGAGAAACTAAAACGCTTTAGGAGAAGATTGATTTGATGAGCTTCAGCATAATATGTTGAATTTCAACTATTTTGTTACTAAATTAATCTTCTTTTATTATGATCATCCAGAAAAATTTCGTGAGATCTACAACTTTGCTTTTGGCTGGGCAAAAGAGAAGGTATGCATACTAAGCACAAAGACTTGGATTGCATTTATTATCATTATTGAGTCTCCCGAGTTAAAAGATTGGTTCATACTCTCCAAAGTTCCAGAAAAATTTCAACCTTGCTATAACTTTTTATGTTTACCCTTGTAGTGGCTTCACCTGTTCTGTTTGTGATGCTTGTCTTGGTGGATAGCTTTCTTGATGAATGAAAAATAATCTGGCTTGAAGTACATGCTTGCCCATGTCCTGTGTAATGCAATTAAAAGAAATTAGAATGACATCCAATTCCTGAAGCAAGAGTGAGAACGGCTATCTCTAGAAGTAATGCAGTTGAAAACGTCAGCATGACAATATTTATATACAAATAGTAAATGTCCATGCAAGTTAAAATTATATAACGGGATTGACAATAAAAAGCATTCTAGCTTAGTGGCTCCTTTTGGGTTGTTTCAAAGTTGATCGAGATGTGAGTTTAAATATCTGTTGGCGAAAGACATTTTAATTTTTACCAAGAAAGCAGTAAGCACCCAAACATAGTTAAACTGTCCTGTCATTGCTCCGTTTTGTGGCTCCTACAGGGTGGCTTCAGAGTTGGTCAAGGTTTGAATGCCTGCTGGCAGAATCATTTCGACTTTTACCTAGGAAGCAGACACCTCCCAAACAGTCAGTCTCTGCAGTTGGTGCAAAAGCAAAATGGAATCCACAACCAGATGATTAAACTTGAGTCAAATGCCAAATTTATGATTTTTACTTGGTCAAATGGCATAATTGACAGGGTTGCAAGGTAAAGGGTTAAATCCATGAATGGGAGGGCTATCTGCCCCGAATCTCAACAGATTAGTCCTCGAGGACATGACCAAATTAGTTTATTCTTTATGCATACAAATGTAAGCCTGCTAATTTTTGCCCTTTTAAAATCTCTTTTTCTTTGAAGGGAGATTGGATATGGATTCTTGTGATGATAAGTATGCATTTTATACGTTGTAACTGTAGGATACGTGCAGCATTTCAGTACTTCCAACGATGAATGTTTGTGTAGCAATACTCTGATATAATTTGGTTACGTTAGATATATCTCTATAATCTGCAGTTACTGATAATTCTTCTCAATTGCAGGGTCAGAAGTCTTTGGCATTGGATACTGCAATCGGGATGTGGCAGTTGCTTTTTGCAGAAAAGCAGTGGCCATTGGTTGATCACTGGTGCCAGTTCTTGCAGGTAGCTTAATGGATCATACCTTGTTAAATTTTTAAAAAATTGCTATTTAGACTAGAGTGAGTGGTGATATGTTTATAACTTGCAAGGTGCATACAATAGTCATCAATACTCATATTCCCCTACTATTTATTGAGTGGCCTAATCATGTCTGTTAGTCTCATATTAAATGGCAAGTTGGCAACCTGTTATTAGTTCCATGAAGGGTCTGGTTAGAGTGGGGAAAGGTTTCAGTTTTTCTCCCTCATATCAAGTTTCTTTTCTTGAATATGGAAAAGATATGCTCCCCTGGAAGAGCTATGACTACAAAAGCAAGATATGTCCTGCATAATCTTCAAAGGTAAAACATCTGTGGGATGCACAAGGTTAAGATGTCTCTGACTTTGCTTGATTATGCCACCCCTTTTGGATAGAAATACAAAGGATATAAAAATATTATATTAAAAAAAAAAGAAAAAGAGAGAGACTTGCATATTGGTTGCTGTTTCTTAATGTTTTATGGGAGGAGTGTTTTGACATAATTTTTAGTACAATTGTCTGCTCTTTTCTTGGTGCCAGGGAACTTGTCAGTGATTAACAATATGTTATTATTTGTGGTATTGTGTCTGTGAATGTGGTCATGTTGAGGTGATGAAGTTTAGTTAAAGAAAAATGTTGTATGTCACCAGGTTTTTTTTTCACCATTATGTGTCTCTGTTTATGTGGATTTTTGTGATCGTTTCTTTGTTTGGAAATAATCATTAAAGAAATAATGAAGGTGAATAATATTTTTGCCATGTATCCCATTGATTAAAACAGTGAAAAAAATTCAGTGATATGCATTGCTCTTAGTTATATTACTAATTTGAACCCCCTAGAGTCTACATTCATTTATCTTTTCATATTTCTGTCTAATAAATGTCAATTTTTCTATTTGGTAGGCCCGGCATAACAAAGCAATATCTAGGGACACTTGGTCTCAACTACTGGAATTTGCACGGGTAAGATATGAAGCAATAACTTACGATGCCCAAAGCTGCCATACACTTCTGTATGCATTTGGTGCCTTTTCTAGTTGTTTTCATCTGCTCACATCCACCTGACTGATGAATAGTCTCTCCCTGAACCACTGGCCCCACGCTGGCACACTTCTACATACGTAGGTCCATAAGTGGCTAGGAAATAGGAGCTGATCCCTCTCTGTTTGTGTGTGCGTGCACATGTGCGCCTCGCATTTCTTCCTTGATCTATATCTTTAGTCCAGTGCAGCCTTTCCAAAGAGGGAACTTACGATAGGAACAATACTTCTGGTCTGGCTTCCCTAGCAATTGGATTCTAATCAAAATATAGTTTTACAGCTTTTTTTTAAACATTGGAATTGTTGTGTAAAGTACTGAATTTGGTCGACATCTTGAAATCGTTTTTTAAATGGTAATTAAAATACCGATGTAATGTTAAGGCCATGGGTATTCTTTCCTCACTATGGGTGAGTACAGCACAAGGTGATGATGTCAATAACATTTGTAATGTCGACTGTTATTACAGATGGTGGACCCTACACTATCAAACTATGATGCAGAAGGTGCTTGGCCATATCTCATTGACGAATTTGTTGAATACTTGAACGAGAATGGCATCATTCAAAAAGGCCAGTTGAATGACTGGAGCCAGAAATGCTGATGTTGTGGTGTATGATATGATGAAATGTGTCCGATTTAGTATGATTCTGAGTTGTTTTACCCCATGATTGAATCTCTTTTTTGTTCAAACCAGAAATATGTTGAAATACAAAAGAGGGACAATACTGGGTGGTGTTTCTTTTTCAGTGATGGGATTATTGATTTTTGATTATATGAATTTTCTGATGAAATAAATGCTAGGGTACATGCTGCTCTGTTTGGTGCAGTTTATGAGGTTAATTATAAACTGAAAAGAATATATATATTGAGAAAGAAAGGGATATTTTATTTTAGTCTTTGTTATCTAATTATCAATATGTATATATATATTTTTGGAGAAGGTTTTAGTATATACAACATACAACACAAATATATAATTTAATCTAGGAGAGGGGAGATGAGACTCAAAACCACACCTTGTGTCTGGTAAAAGGGCCTTTACCACTCGGGCTATCTCTTTGTCTCCTAATTATTATCAATTTTTATCTTATAAGTTGCACAAAACAGTATTAGACCGTGACTACTTTCTCTCTACACACTTTCTTTCTATCCGCAGTGAGATATGCTTTCGCAAAGGTGGATGTGGAGAAAAATAAGAGGCATATTTAGAAGCTCCCAATGCGGGGTTACTTATTATTTTTAAGGTAAATTATACATACATTCTTAAAATTTAATTGAAATACAAATCACTTATAATTTTGAAATTTTTTGAATTTCATAATAAATTATTTATTTTATTAATAAATCATAAAAATTAATTAACAATTTTTAATAACATTATAAATATATTTTAATTAATAATTTAAATAATTTTTTTATTGTATAGGAGAATAATTATGAATTTTATTTTTTGTTAATCTTGTTAAATAAAAAATTCTAATAAAAAAGTATTTATAATTTTTCAAATCATAAAGAACAATGTGTTTTAAACAAACCTTAGATGGTATATTTGTAATTTACTCTTATTTTTAGAACAAAAATTCTTTCCCCCATGTTCTTATGGTGGCCTGAGATAAACACTCGGCACAAACAAATCATATATATGTATTACTAAAGCGAGTTCATACTCGTGTGGAATCGTCATTATTTTTAGGTCCCATTATGAACCTCATAGAAAAGCTCAAATGATATGATGATGATAACAAAGACCAATTAAACACAAAAATGACTGAAATTTATAAAGTGCTCCTTTTAACTAAAATCAATGCAGGCTCCAAAATGAAACAGCAGTCTCCTCCTCCAAGACCACTTAGTTGCTGGCAGCCACCAATGCCATGTGCTCTATCAGGTCCAACACTCGGTTGCTGCAATAAAGACCATATGAATCACCACTAGGTGTCGGTGCAGAGACAGAGAGAGAGAGAGAGAGAGAGAGAGGGAGAGAAGCCTTACCTGTAACCCCACTCATTGTCATACCATGAAACAAGCTTCATGAAAGATGCATTCAGTCCCATCCCAGCCTTGGCATCAAATATACTTGACCTGAGATAAAATATGCCCCAAAAATGTAAATCAAATAGGAAAGGAGAAAGTCATCGGAACATCGAGGATAGAAAAAAATACCCGAATCAGGGCACTTCAGCTTTAGGGTCATTCACCGGTAAAGAATATGAACAAAATAGATGCGGTGAAACAAATTTCCATAACAAAGGAGATTTTTTTTTTTTAAAATGAAAAAAAAAAAAAAGTACCAGTAAACCACGTCATAACAGCCAAAACGTTCCCCCTTACATCAAAACCAATTGAGAAAGTTTCTTTAATTGAAAAGTGTAATATCAGCACATAAGCTATAGATGGGAAACCAATATGATATAGCTGCTGGTGGAAGGCCAAGAATTTTCCATTCAGGAATTTAAAAACACATCTACATTCAGAAGATATCGTGTGGTATATTTAAATTCTTAATGACAATAGTTTTATCAGGATATAAAAATGAGAGAGAGACAACAAAGTTAACCTTGAGTCACCAACAAAGTCATTGGAGACAACATCCTCATCTGTGTACCCGAGAATGCCTTTCAGCGGCCCCTCTGAAGCATACCTATAATTGAAATATCAAGGGTGCCTTAGTTTTTTTTGTCTTTTTTGGTATGTCAAAGGTGATTTAGTACTTACCAATATGATGTTAATTCATGCCTAGAAACCTCACATCAATCAATCATGAGAGAGAGAGAGAGAGATTGTATATGCAAGGTGGATAAGAAAACAAAAAATGGCAAACATACTTTATGGCTGCTTTAACATCTTCATAAGAAGCACTCTTCTCAAGTCGACAAGTTAAGTCCACAACAGAAACATTAGGAGTTGGGACTCGGAAGGCCATTCCTGTGAGCTTTCCATTAAGTTCTGGAAGAACTTTTCCAACAGCCTACAATATCCGAAGATCAAAATCGTTACACAATTGTGTTAAGGAGTCTTTCTTCCGCATGCCTATGCTAAGTTCTCATACCTTTGCAGCACCAGTTGAACTAGGGATTATATTTTGTCCAGCTCCACGCCCACCCCTCCAATCCTTCATTGAAGGTCCATCCACCGTCTTTTGTGTTGCTGAACATCAATGAGCGTATAAACAAACTCACCAACCCAATACAAAAATGTACTGAGAATACCTGTGTGGATGGGTGTGTATGTGTGTGTGAGAGAGAGACAGACCTGTAGTTGCATGCACTGTTGTCATTAAACCCTCTACAATGCCAAACTCCTCATGAACCACCTACAAATATATATCATAGAAATAACCATAAATTAAGGGAAGGGATAGTTGCTTAGCGACTGACTTCAAATTAGAAGAACAAAGCAAAACATGGTTTAAAGAACTAAATAATTAATTTAAGTACATACCAAAAATACACTCAGAATTTATCTACTTAGCCAGTATTAGTTTCTACAAATAGAGTACCAAAGAGTTCAATAATCCCTGAATTTGAAACACATTCACACCTTGGCAAGAGGAGCGAGACAATTGGTGGTGCAGCTTGCACTAGAAACAACATCCATGCTTGGCTTGTATGTAGTGTCATTTACTCCAACCACAAACATAGGTGCATCAGCTGATGGAGCTGAAATTATGACCTTCTTGGCACCACCCTACACAATAAAGGAACACCTAAAATGAGGTGTACATGGATATACATATATATGCATGCCTATGTATATTTATATAGAGAGTCCATAATCACTTAATAGGCAGAATCAACAAATTGCAAGACTAACCTTCTTGTGTATCGAAGCCTTCTCAAGGGTTGTGAAAACCCCAGAAGATTCGACCACATACTCAGCCCCCAAATCACCCCAAGGAATCTCTGCAGGGTCTCTGAAAAGAGAGAGCTCCAAATGTTAGTGTTGCTTGTAACATAAGATAGTAATTTTATGTTGTCATTGACGTGGCATGCTTGTTCTGACAACAGCCATTTCATATTTTATACAAATGTATGAGGATCCAAATGCAATACATTTTGCTTGAAATTTTAATCTGCTTCCCATTTATCTCTAAAGTGGACTCATCCAAGACCTTGATGGTTCCCTTGAAGAATCCATGAGTAGAATCATACTTAAGCATGTAAGCCTGAGAGAAGAAATACCATAACCATCAACTCAGAACATAGTAATTCAGTTAATCATAAAAATTACATCTACAGAGAATAGAGTTAACCAGTCCAAAAGAGACGAGGATTAAAAAAAACACATATAACAAAATTACAAGGAGACACCTCATGACTCGGGATAAGGTGAAGCTGGCATAGTTTGCATAAAATTAACATCCTGTCACATCCTATCTCCTCATTTTAACCATTCAGAAGATTTCACAGAAAAATAATTTGTAGACATAGGATCGAAATTCTTGAAAAGCGGTAACTGGTATTTGTCCCACCAAATCCTCAAGTCACCCGCCTTTCCAATTACAATGCTAAATATGCCCACATGTTGCACCACAATGGTATCCTTAAAACCTACTTCCCACCATCCTGAAGAAAAGCAAGGGAGTCCATGGTTTTCTCTAGCTGTGAAAAATCCAAAATACATGCAAGTGAATTTTCTTTCAATCTCTTGTAGACTTTTTATAACTTGTAAAGTGTAAAAGCTGCACCAACTCCCTCGGGGTACTTAACCCAATTCCAATATCTTGCAATGAAATCAACAAATATTAAGCAAACATAACATTAACCTAACTCGGTAGCAACAATTACATTCCACAATATTGCGGCTGAGATCAAAAACTATTTGAGCTTAGCCAAGTTTATGTTGTTCAAGGTCAATCAGCTACCTTGAAGTTGACTAAAAATAACACCAAGTTCAAGCTCCTGAACTGAAAGTATTATTTTCAACAAAAAATTAGCAATTTAAGATAATGAGGTTTGCAATTTGAGTTTCAGTTTTGTTATTCAAAAAAACTTCTTAATCTAGCAAGGATGCTTGGGATCATACACCAAGAACTGCGTGTACAAGTCAAACTCAAACTTGGGTCATCAAATGAGTTACAATTATCTTTTAGCAACCTGAGCTTGCCAAGAACTGCTAAGTTTAGCTTACAGCCCAACAATTTGAAGGAGATTATGTTACTACTGAAAATACACTACATGTAAAACAATTCAAGATGTCTGGGGAGGAATCCAAAGAAAATAGAAGCAAAGCACAATTTCTTACCATGTACTTAGCATCAACAAAAGGATCATTGACAGCTACAACATCCATGTCATCCCTAGATGTTGCTATCCGTAATACCAATCTTCCAATCCGACCAAAACCTGAAAAAGTAAGCAATTTGAGTTAGTTCAGTTTTGTTAGTCAAAATAACTTCTTAATATAGAAAGGATGCTACGGATCATACACCAACAACTACTTACAAGGTCAAATATTTTATTGAAGGAAAATAAATTACATGCATAGTCAATAAACAACTGAAACAAGGAATACTACGGGATGTTGGTTGAAGAACAACTGAAACATGATAGAAACCATCAATAAACATACCGTTGATTCCAACCTTTGTCTTCCCACTGCTTCGTGATTCTAAACAAAACAAAACAAAACAAAATAAGCAAGGCAACAAATACAACTCCTTCGTTATCCCTACTGCTTAGCGTCATGATCTAAATGTAGAAGTTAGGTTTTTACTCAGAACTGTAGGAGGCATTTCAGTTGCAGTTGCTTTGATAGGCTGCATACTCCTAGCAATACATTTTCTGTATGGTTTGGACCAAATCATTCTGTGTTAATAACAATATAAGCAAACAGTACTCAACTGCACACAGAGGAAACAGTGGATTACGCAACTGTAAGGAAGATGGCTTGCCAGGAACAACAGTACCAAAAATGCTTGACTGAAACTTTGCAGAATTCAGATTGCGATTGAAACCAACAGACGACACCTGAAATGAAATAAAACAATAATAACAACAATGAGCGCAATTTCCATGCCGCACATTGCAATCCATGAGAAGTGAAACCTAAATGCTGTAATGTGTAAACAAAATTAGAACAACAAAACCAAACTTGTATCAGCTAAAAAATACACATACAACAGAATTAAGCAAAATCTCACAAGTTATTGGCAGAAGCGGGCACCAAACATTCTAACACAAATTTTCTTAAAAAACAAAGAAAGCTCTAATAAGCTGCATAGCTTTTTATAAGCTGAAATTCGATAATCATAAAGCAAAATCTTAAAGCACCCTCCCTGTTTCCAGATAATCACACAAAAAAAAAATTCCAGCTTATTTTAAGTTATTTTTTGCCTAATAGCACCAAACACTCTCGCACATAGATTTTCAAAGAAGGACAAAAAAAAAAAAAAAAAACAGAGCATCAATAAGCTGTGCAACAAACAGGGCCGTTAGGTGTTGTGTAGTTATTAATAGGTGGAATTCGCATTTTCCATTTATTTTCTCAGCAACCAAATGGAACCAAAGCAAGCAAATCACATTTCCAATCGAAAGGACAATAGAAAGTGAAAAGCCTCATCACTGTGAATAACAACTATAACTAAGGAATGAGTAAACACCAAAAATCAAGCAAGACTAAAACATAATCAAAGTTGGTTAGATAGAATAGTTAAATTATTTATCAAAATTGATCCATCAGAAATGAAGTGACCTTGGATTGATCGGCTGATGATGAGAATGAGGAGGAGTCGGGAAGAGAGGATTGGAGAGCAGGGGATGTGGATCTGAGGAGAGAAGAAGAGAACGCCATTGCCACACAGAACCTCAGTCAGAAGTCGTCTTTGGCTTTCTCAAGAGAAAATGCAATCAACTCCCCTCTCCCTCTAGTAGTTTTTTTTCTTTTTCTTTTTCTTTTTTTGGGTATAAGGAGAGCGAAGATTCTTAGGAACCTCTCTCTCTCTCTCTCTCTGAAAGTAGCAAAAGAGTTGCCTTCTTCTTTTCTATATATACTCTCCATATTATACGGGGAAGAGTCACGATCATGAAAAAAAATTTTCACGAAAAATTTATAATTTTTAAATTATCTTGATTATTGTGTAATATTTTATTTTAAGTGTAATTTAAAGTAGGGGTGTTCGCAGATCGGTTTTGTGCGGTTTGCGGTTTGGTTTTGACCAGCCCGCATCTATGCGGTTTGGGAAAAAGTCAACCCGCAACCGCCCGCAGTGCGGTTTGCGGTTTGTGCGGATAGGGTTTACAAATGTGCGGGCGGTTGCGGGCGGTTTACGGTTTACACTTTTTTCTTTAAAAATTAATTTTCGAGTTTTTTTTTCCCAGCGAATTTAGGCATCAGATTTATTTTATATATTTATGATAACAATTTTTTGATGAGTTTACAAATAAAAATTGAATATCAATACATTAAATGAAAGTACCCAAAACAAAGAGACCCTACACTAGCATTTTTGCCATAAAAAAATGTATATCAATGCATTAAAGGTTGTACTCAATAAGAATTGCCAGTTCAGTAATCAATAATCAAACTATAAGTTCTATCGACCATTAGAAGGAAAATTTTATTAGGAAAAAGTGGATGAATCACCAATGAAAATCATATAAGAAACCAAGTTTAGGACTTGATAATTCTACGGCATTAAGAAAGTTGAGAAATACTTAAAAATAAGGATCCTAGTGTCATAGAGAATATAATGGTACTCCTGTAAAAGTTACAAAGTTGGTATATAAAAAATAATAATAATAATAATAATTAAAGTGCGGGCGGTTTTTGCGGGTTGCGGGTTTAAACCGCGACCCGCCCGCAACTCGCAAATTTGTCATATTTCAAACCGCATCTGCCCGCATTATGTTTGCGAAACCGCCCATTTATATGCGGTTTGGGCGGATTGGGCAGTTTGAGCGGTTCGGATAAACCGTTGCCCACCCCTAATTTAAAGATTATAAAATTTTTATAATTATTTTTATAAAAAAAAATTTATGATACTTAGCCTCTATTTAGGAAGTGGGTTGACTTTTTGACTTTTTTGACTATATGAGCCTGGGCTCAAAAGTTTAATTTGGAAAGGACTTTTGACTTTTTAACTTTTTTAATTTTTTTGTGAGAGAAGAGTGTAATGATTATGAGATTGGATGAGATATTTTATCTGTTATGACTCATGAGCCTATTCTGTCTTTTTATGACTCATTAAGTCAAAAAAACTCAATGAACCCTTGCCAAACCAACCCTTAGTATTGGTGATATATATATATATATATATATTCCTCTCTCTGTCTCTTAAGCGAATGGTGGCATGATGCAAAAAGGGGTTGGTTTCCTCTTGCATTCTAAAACTACCTACCACACCGCCTACCCACCCACCATCTGCACGTGCGTAGGGTAGGGTAGGGTTGTGTAGGACATAGAGCGTGGGAGGTGTGAGTTTTGTCGTCTTCTGCAGGAGCAGATCTGTGCTTAGCTGACGTCTCCCTCAAAACCCACGTCACGCAAGCCTGGCCCCCTTTTTATCCTTGAAAAGTCAGACCCATGTGGTTAAATTATGAAAAAAAAAATGTTATAAATGTTAAATTTTTTATTAAATAAATAATTAAAAATTTCATATACGTGTAGGGTTTGTATTACATATTTATGTGAGGTGTTGTATTTATGTGAGGTATTTAATTATTTAAAAATTAATTTATGTAATGTAAAATTTATGTAAGATTTATATAATTTGTCGTAGTGGAGATTATTTTTGAATTAATAGGAGTATGTACTTATAATTTGATTTAAATTTTTATTATTTTAATTTTTATATTTTAAGTTCACGTTTGATTTGATTATTGTTTCATGTAAATTTTAGTTAATTGTCCAAAAATTGCTATATTTAACATCCAATATATTTTTAAAGAAGTCTAAAAATTTTAAAATTAATAGGCACAATTATCTAGTATAAAATGAGTCCTATCTTATAATAGTAATTATATGTTTGGTTTCAGTTTTCTAAATTCAGTTTTTTTGAAAATTAAATTTTTTATTTTTCTTATTTTTTTTTTATTTTTAGTGAATATTTTTAAGATTTTAAGCATTTTTTATATTTTTTTAGATGCACCTTACTTAGATGTATCTAAAAAGTAAAATATTTGTAAAAAATATTTCAAAAAATTAATAAATACACAAAAATATGAAACATATACTAAATTTTTGTTTTTTTTTTATATATTTTTGGTATTTACTAAATTTTTTAAAAAAAATTTCACAAAAATTATACTTTTTAAGTGTATTTATGTTAGGTGTGTCTAAAAATTAAAAAAAAAATTACTTAAAATATTAAAAAAAATAAAAAAAAAATACGAAAAAAAAAATATAATTTTCTGACAAGTGTTTTCAAAAAATTAAAAACAAATATGGTGAATATTATTTAGAGTTCTTTAACAATGTTTCATTCCATAGCACAACTATACATTGGTAGAGTAAGTGCACTGTGTGTTGTTTTAGGATTTCTACACCCAAATGTTACATTATTAAAGATGCTTTTATGGTGTATCTAATGGTTGGTGTCCAAATTATAATACTGCACTTATTATTACTATTTTTTATATCATATTTAGTTCATAATTTGATGTGACTTACTCACAACCATTGGTGCAATACATGAAACCTAAATTAATGTTCAACTGTTGTAACAGTATTGCATGTAAAGTAAATGTGGCATAAACAATTAATAAATGTTTCAAATTTATGGACCTATCATGAGAGATTGAAAGAACTCTTTCTAAATTTGAACGTCTTTTCAGATTTAGCACAAAATTTGATACTTAACAAGTAATTTAAAAAGAAATTTTAAGATGATAATCTAACCAGTCTTTTAAAAGGAAATTTAAAAGACTTGTGTAAATTATTTAGAAGGAATGAAATATTTGATTATACACTCTAATAGTTACTATGATGCTAAAATTATTGCTGTAGAAATGATCATGAATATGAAAGCTAGGCGGAATACTAAGTGAGGGTTTCTCGCTAAAAATAAACAAAAAATAAACAAAAATCAATTTATAAAATTTTTGTAAATATAAACTGAAAACGTAAACGTTACCCAACACACCCTAAGTGAGGGTTTCTCGTCTTCCTTTTTTAAGTCAAAAATGGAGTCTTTGTCTTGATGATATATTAAACTTTGGGTAGGTATAAAGACTTTGTTCTTTCCGTATTTCATTATTTTTGTACGGTTTTTAGCTCTTGGATTGGCCCCATTTATTTACATATTCATTTATAAGTAACTAAACAAATATATTGACTTTTTTTAATATATATTCATTTTCTTCTCATCTAACTCAATAAAACAAAACAAGAAGACCATATTTCACTTGATTTTCTGTTACTTATCTTCAGTTTTCTTTATTTTTATTTTTTTTCCCCTCTCTCAATAAATTTAAGATTTGAATATAATGTTAAGGTGATAAATATAAATAAATGAGTCTCTGATATATTTATTAATAAAAACTTGAGCAAATTAAACTATAACTAGATTGTCAAAGATAATGGAAATGTAATAGATTCTCCAAAGAAGTAAAAGTTTCTTGGGAAAGATCCCTCAGAAACAAAATTTCCACCATCATTGGTGGTATTGGAATCATCGCTCATAAGGCAGCTACATGATTCAAACTTTATTATATCTCTCTTTTTTCTCCTTTAATTTCTAATACGTAATTAATTTGTAGTTATGACAACAACAAAAAAGTGATTGATGGGTTGGATTAGGGCCACGATAGCGATAAACAGAGGAGGATCTTGCGCCATCTAATTAGACATGACTTAAGGGACATTGTTGTGCACTTGCCATGCAGATGCTAGCATTATAGGCCTCCCTTTCCATCCAAGAAGAAGACACCCCTTGTCACTAGCCAAGGTGTATCCATCACAGCCATACACAGATAGCATCATCCTAGCTTGGCTCATGGAGTCTTTCATCCCTACCCCTTGAAACCCTGCTCGTCCTAGCTGCCTCCTCCACTGATCCGCCCTCTCGTGCCTCTCAATCCTATTTGATCCCTCGTAAGCTATTATGTTATTGATTTCCTCTGCCAAGTACATTTTTTCTATCTTCATCCTTTGGGGACTATTCCTTGGAAAAATAGCCTCCAAGGAGTCAAATATGGCAGAATAGTAGTGAAGTGATTCAAGGAATCTCCCTAGAAAGAAGGGTCCATTATGATTGGCATCTTGTTCCACCACTGTAAGCAAGGTTGGTCCTAGTTTCTTAATTGCTTGGAGGATTGTCTTTAGAGAGCCTCTGCTCTCTTTCACATACGTGTGCAAATGCATGATGCTGTTCACAAACAATGCCTCTCCTTCTCTCAAGTTGAGGTTCTCTTTAGTTAGTAGTAGTGATGGTGTTGTTGATTGCTCTTCGATCAAGTGGAATTCTAGAGGAATGCCTAGCGAACCTGCTTCGTCAATGAGGCCTTTGATGCTGGCTTGAAGCTGATCTAAAAGTTGTTGATGATGATGATGATCTCCAACTCTAACTAGGCCTGTGATGCGCAGTAATTTAGGGGGGCCCTCTGGCCGTGAAGCTAAGGTTCTTATGAAAGAGGGCCATTGGAGAGTGTGTTGCATTCCCAAATCAATGATATGCAAAGAGTCCATCCCTTTTGCAGCTTGGCATATAGCATCATTTGTAACCATGAAACCAAAAGCAATGTAAGGAGTTGATTGGTGAAGTAATTGAAAAGCTTCCATCTTCATCTCCTCCTCCCTAATTGTGATGGTCGAGGAGGACAAGGAAACAATACTATTCATGGCACTAACAAAACCATTAGAAGTTGTGAATATTGTACCATTGGCATTGAGATTATTAAGAAGAAGGGATAACCTGCACTTCAATCCCATGGCGAAGCAATACGAGACACGTTGCAAAGAGTCACCCAAAGGACTCACCCAAGGCCAAATTTGGCAAAGGATTGAATCCGCGAGTTGAGTGTCCCTACAACCCACTGCCTCTGCACATGCCAACAACAAATGCACTAGTTGAAGCCCTTGATCCACCTCCCCATCCCCATGGCTACTCATACTCACCACTTGCTGATGATCTGCAACATGATCATGATGATCAATAATAGTACTAGTACTAGTCTTGATAGCAATCTCATCCAGCTGGTCGTCTCCTTCAATCATCATAATGTCCTTCCCATCCCCATAAGCATAGACGTGATCGTCCACAATTATTGATGACAAGTTTTCAAAAAGCTCGTCTTGATCATCAAAATGATCAAACACCTCATCATGATCATCATGCGTCTTCCCTGGAACCATGATACTATCATCTATGAGGTCATAGCAGTAATCAAGATTAAAGAAACTGTCAACAAATTCTTCCTCCTCAGAAGTAGGTAGAGGAGGAGGAGGAGGAGGAGGAGTACTAGATCTAGTATCTGCATCAGTGGGAGACCATAACTGCTCCATCTGATCATTGACTACTGAATCTGATGGTGCCTCCTCCTCTCCTCCTCCTCCTCCAATAGCTTGTTCTTGCTTGACTCTTGCAGCTGGACAAAACCTTCGAATGGCGAGGTCTTGGCGATTAAGACTCTCATGCATGGGGAAGAAGAGCCAGCCATTCACGGTTGCCATTGCTTCTTTTGGTCTTGAAAATGGAGGTTTTGGTGGACAAAGCTAGCTGGGAGTGGGAGATGAGAGCAAGAATGAGCTAAACTTAATTAATTAAGTTAAATTTACAGCCTAAAAGTATTGTTGCGATGGTTACTTTGAGGAGGAGGAGGAGGATCGGATGCCTCAACCTCAACGAACTTAATTTAGGGACATCATTTTTATTAGATATGATATGATTTTGTCATTTGCGTTTGTAAATGGAATGAGTCACATTAATCACCTTCGGACTCTCTCTGGGTCGGCCAACAAGCAATGAGACAATTCAAGGGCAGGCCAACCCCCCCTTTAATTAACTTAAGCTTTGATTCCTAGTAAAGATATTTTCTTAGTATAATAATAATATTTGATAAAGTACAATTCTACATAGTTTCTAGATTGAATCTTTTCTTTTTATTTTTTCAGCAAAAAGTCTATTCTTGTGATTTATACATACACTATAAAGTGTGCACATGCCAATGAGTATGTTATGAAAATCAATTAATTGATCTTTTATTGATTAATAAAAAAATTGAAGAAATTATAAAAAAAATTAATTTAAAATAAAAAGAAGTTATAAGACAATTTTGAAAATTAAAATGTAATCAAACTTCACAGAATTATATACTTTATACAACAGACTATATATATATATATATGTTGGTGAAAATACAGAAAAATTATATTTTATTGATAAATAATGCATAAGAAAATGAGATACAAATAGATCAAATTGGGGCATGGATATCTCGTTTTCTTTAAGGAGATCAAACCCATTGCATTAGGAAGAATCCAAATACCGATGCAGCAGTCACAAAACTATGACTTGTCTACTCCAAGATACAACAACCCGACCATTTGTTATACGGTTTAGGTCAACTCTGCACAAGATGGTGAACCCTACAGCTTCACCAAGAAAAAGCACCCTTCTTTGGCTAATAATCCCTCAAGTATAAAAAAATAATTGGTATAGAAAAGAGTAGATGAGAGAAACTATATATAGGCTACTGGGACCTTACAATTTACACCAAAAAATAATAATGATCATTAAACTAGAGACAAGGGAGAGTCTCCAAATATTAACTCACCACCAAGTCCATGAACTTCCAATTAATCTTCATTCATGAACAAGACAAACGGTCACCAAAAAATAATGAATCTCCATTCACCGAACAAAATGAGATTCATGAACAAGACAAAAGATGATTCATGAACAAGATAAATAAATAAAATATATTAAAATGGTCCAATAATCCCCCACTCATTTTAATATCAACAAGGACAAAAGAGATTACCAAACAAAGATAGACTAGTATGCATCATGAAGGTGTGTTCTGCATTGAATCTTCATTAGTGAAACAGCAACCTCTACTCCAGAGTCAGTAGTGGTCTCAGACTTGAACTATGACTACTTCGAGGAAATAAAGTATTACTGTTCACACATAATAATCCAAGTGTTGACATAAGCTTTTAATAGCTAGCACATTACGGCCTTATGCCTATCTTAGTTTTCATGAGCATATTTGAAAATAAGTCTTGTTCTCATAGACAGCAGCTTCACTTTCATGCTCACATAGGTGAAATCTGTCAAGGATGTTCCTGTAATTTACACACCTCACTCAACAAGAGCTACAGAGGCGCTGTTTGGGAAGTGCCTAAAGAGGCTATTATAGCCTAAAAAACATTTTTAGCCAAAAAGCCACTTTTGCAAGCTTTTTCAACAAAAAAAAAAAAATAGGACTGCACAGCCGGCAGTGTAGGCACAGCCTACACTGTCAACTTTGTCACTTGTTCCATCAATGAACATTTTACGATTTTACCCCTTGATAGCAATTTAAAAAAATATTTTTTTAGGGACAAATTTGTCATTTTAATTTCAAACATCATTTCAACACATTTTTTAATACAACAACTCAAATAAAATCCATCTCATCTTCCCAAACACAAAAACTAAAATAGCCTACTAAAATAGCCAAAAAGCCAAATAGCCTACTAAAATAGCCACTTCCCAAACGAGGCCCGAATTTCATTAAGAGTATAAAAACTCAACCCTACAACATTACAGGACAAATGCATTTACATCATAGGGATGGATAACAAAATATTAAGGAGTGCATTTTTTTACAACCACCATATGATTCGTTCTTTCCATTGAACCTAGTTACAGGATCTCTGGTCCCCGGGTTAGGTGTCTGTAACAACCCCGACCCAAGATTAACAATAATCCATGATTTAATATGCCTAATAAGATACTAAGATCAGACTTTGAGTTAATTGCATATGTGGTGCATTATTTGTGTTTCTATCTATTTGTTGTAGAAATATCTGTTTGAGATTCTGCTATATTTTGCGAATTGAAGGCCTTATCGGCATCTGATTCAGAAATTGACTTGATTTATGTGTTGATTAGAATTTTTAGAATTTTATGGTAGATTCAATTGAAATTCGATTTGAAACGATTAAATTAGTTTGACTTAATGTCCATTTATTTGACCTTAATTAATTACACTTTATCCAAGCCTATATTAAGCACCAATTGAGCCCCCACTCATCTCTTTTCTCTCATTTCAACACATTTTGAGTCTATTTAAAGTAAGAAAACGTAGGAGAGGGAGAGTAGGGAGAAATTGAGCTCAAACCAAGAAATTGTTAGGAATTGTTGGCATTTGAAGAAGATTTGAGAGTTTCAACTTCAACCATTGTGAATTCAAGTCTCTAGGTATGGAATCAAACTCTTAGTTGTGTAATTGGGTTAGATCTTACAAAACTTCTAGTGAATTAAATGAATTCATGAGGGAATTGGGTTAAGAATGAAGAGTGTTAAACCATACCATTCATGCATACATATTTCTCACATTTTGAGTTGAATTTCCAAGAATTCCCTCATGCATGTCTCGAATTCACCTTAATTTTGTGAAATCATCAAATTTCATAATTTTTTGTAGCATTTGATCATGTTTTGAGAAGAATGAGTTTAAAGGAATTCATACATGTCATGTTTATGAAACACCCACAAATTTCAAGTTGAATTTTGTACAATTGGCAAGCTTTTGAGCCATGATTTCTTGAATTGATCTTTAATTCATGTTGTTTTAAGAGTTTTCATGTACTTCCTCAAATTTTGGCTCATAAAAAATCAAGTTTTGAAGCTTTGAGTTTAAGTTTTGAACTTGGAGATCAAATCTGGAAATTCCAGAATTTGCATCCATGCTCAAGTGTAAGAACCCACGCTCGAGCGACCACTCTGAGTGCGTGCACTTCCGCTCGAGCGACCTGAAATACGCTCGAGCGTGAAATGCAAGCCCTCAGAAGTTCATGTGTTTTGCAGCACGCTCGAGCGACAGAAACCACGCTCGAGCGAAGGTTTAAGTCTCATGCTTGAGCAGGGATCGAGCGTCCGTCGAGCGTGAAAATCTAGCAACCAGTACTTTTTCAAAGTTTACAGTCCGCTCGAGCGAAGAAAGTTACGCTCGAGCAAACCTTCACATTTTGCATGTCCGCTCGAGCGTGGACCCTGTTTTCAGCAAGTTTCGAAAAATGTTTTCAAGTGCATTGTTACATCCTCATTCCATCCTAGGCATTCCTAGGCCATGATTAAGGCACTATAATGAGGATAAGGGTGAGAAACACACTTAGGACATGAAAATGTGTTATGTGTGATTCGAGCATGTGTTTCAATATGTGTCTCTGTCATGTTATGTAGGTCATGTGTGCCAGTTAAGTGAATTACCTACTCTACTTGTTTACTTTGAGCCATCTGTTAACTGTGAGTAATAACTCTATAAAGTTATGTTTAATTACAAGTATTTTCTGTCTGGTATGATACGATCTATTTTCTGAAATGCTATTTTATGAATTATGAATGAATGTCCATTTTTTTTTTCTGAAATGTATTTGTGGCATTCTTAGCTCACGTGGCCCTCGCCCGGGGGTAACAATACCAACGCTTATATTCATGTGGCCCTTGCCTGGGGGTAACAATACCATGGCTACTTGCGCGCAATATATGGACCTTTATGGTCGTCGGTACCGACTATACATATGGGTCTCATAACCAAGTTAATATAATAGCTAATGGGTGTACCACGTATAATTTTATGCAAAAATCTAAATATGAATATGAGCATGTATCTGAATCCAATTCCGATTTGAAATCTGATTATGCATAAGACTCTGTTTTCGATAAGAATATGTTTTTGAAATAAACTCTAATTTCTAATTCTGTGATGGGCATCATTCATTAAAACCCTTTACCTTGTTATTATTCACTGGGCTTCCGCTCACTATTTATTTGTATGTATATAGGTGAATAGACGCGTGACCAGGCCTAAGTTGTTGCCTGCCGAGTTTTGGTGTCAACCAGCCATCATGCCTCCCGTGGAGGTTCCCTTTTGAGATCTGCTCAAGTTTTGTGTCCTTGGGACTTTTGTGCTTTCTAAATGCTTATGTCTGGTCTGAACACGTTTGGAAGCTTTGTATAAGTGGCTTGGGTGACGTAAGGCTAATGTATTTTCGATGCCACATCTGTATGTATATGTACATAAGTTAGTTCGAAAACTTCATGTTCCATGTATGTCTGCACGGCTCTATAGACTATGTATGTTTAGTATATTTGTTTTCGCAGCCCCTGTTTATATGTTATTCTGTTCAGAGGCCTTTGGTAATCCAAGGATTACTAGCCGGTTACAATGCTAAACTTATGGGAGCGGGTTTGGGTCGTGACAGTGTCCTCATACATGGTTTATGATTTTATAGGTTTCAAACCCATCCCCCTCGATGTATTCCAGACCCTATCTCTCATCAAGGCCTTGGTTAACAGATCCGCAAGATTATCACTAGATTTTACATGATTCACAGTTATGATGTCATTATTCTAATAGGATCTCACATTACTGTGTTTCCTTCAAATAGGTCTAAATTTACCATTATTAAAATGATTGTTCACTCTACCAATAGTAGCAGTGCTATCACAACGAATTAATACAGGAGGAATTGGTTTTTCCCAAAAAGGGATTTCATGTAACAAATTTCTCAACCAATTCGCTTCCTCACATGCTGAAACTAACGCTATAAGCTCAACTTCCATTGTAGAATTAGCAATTATAGTTTATTTTTTAGACTTCCAACAAATAGCACCACCATCCAAGGTAAAAATAAAACCCGAGGTAGAGAGAG